TAATAATAATAATAATAATAATAATAAAGGAAATGAATTTAACAGTGGGCTTGAGCATGGCAAGAGATTGGGAGGATGGGGCAAGGCAGGGCAAGGTTAGAACTGTTGTTCACAGGCTGAGTCGTACTTGAGTTGAGGGCGCCTAACAACAATGATAATGATGCATGGGGATTCTGGTGGTGCTGTGCTTAAGCTCGGGGCTGTGAACCGAAAATTGGGGGCGGAACCCTCAGCTCAGCAGAAGGATGAAGTAGTTGCTTCCATGTGAAATGACAGCCTTGGAAACCCTATGGGACAGTTCTACTCTGTTCCATGATCCCTATGAGTCGGAATCGAATATATATAGTAGGGGGTGGGACTCAAGATTTACTTCCCAGGTTTTAGGGGAATCTTTTGATGGAGAATTTGAGTTCATGGTGCATAAGTTGATAAGCATCACCAGTGAAGCAAGCATTTTCCTTCTAAGAGCCTTCTATGCAGGTCAGCCTCATTGTGAACACGTTTCACGTGTTCGTGCTCGAGGGCTTTGTCAGCGCGGCCACAAGGTAAGCTGTCCTGGCTTGCAGACACAGGACGCGTGCGATCCCACAGCAGGAAAAAGCCCGGGAGGGCGGGGAACGTGAGCATTCTCCTGCGCCGGCGCCAGCCCTCCTCGTCGCCACCACATAGGCCACGCCCCCACAACATAGATCCCGCCCCCAAAGGCCCTGCCCCCTTTCAACAAAACGCACGTCGCCTCAGCTTCCCTATCGCAGGCCCCGCCCCCAAGAGACCCCGCCCACCAAAGTTCGCTCTACCTTCCGCCAGGCCCCGCCCCATGGCCCAAGCGCGCAGTGCGGCTGCGCAGGCGCCTGAGGCTCCGAGGCCCCGGCCGCCGCGGCTCTTTTGTTTCCCTGCCAGAGCTGGAGCCGGAGCCGTAAGCGGAGTGTATGCGCACCCGTACTTAAATCCCCCGCACTCGGACCTGCGCTCTGACCCTCACGATCTGCAACCGAAGCCAAAGCGCCTAGCGTTGACCGCCCCCACCCCCTGCCTGCTGACCCCGTCCAGCGCACTCCACCACCCCCGCGGCCCAGCCGGCCTGGGCCTGCCTTCTGCCTCGGCTGCCCCGCTACGAGCCCCCGGGGCCCACGGCCCTGACGATGAGCGCGCTTCCGGCCCTGGCGGACCGCTTGCGCCCCCCACGCGCCGCACCCCTGGCCCGGCTTGTGCCATGGAACCCTGCCACAGCGGCATGGAGACCGTGGGCAAGTTCGAATTCTCCCGAAAGGACTTGATCGGGCACGGGGCATTCGCCGTGGTCTTCAAGGGCCGCCACCGGGAGGTGAGGCCGATCCCGGGGCGAGGGCTGGAGGCAGAGGACCAACGAGGTGGTTGGGGGCAGGGGTAGCACCCCGGGTACTTCTTCCCGTCCACTCCAGCCCCTGGGTGAACTTGGCCCTGTGGTTTTCAGAAGCACGATCTGGAGGTGGCCGTCAAGTGCATCAACAAGAAGAACCTCGCCAAGTCGCAGACTCTGCTGGGGAAGGAGATCAAAATCCTGAAGGTGAGCTTGCCGGCCAGCCGGCGGGGCAGCGGTGGTCAGCCCACGGTGGTGGGCCTCGCTGCCCAAGACCCACCCCTCCTGAGAAACCTGGTCTTCTGCCCTAGGAGCTGAAACATGAAAACATTGTGGCGTTGTACGATTTCCAGGTAAGGCCTGCTGAGTGCGGGGCTGGGGTCTGGACGGGACAAAAGCGGCCATGGGGCCAGGTGGGCTCGCAGGCCGGTGTTGTTTGGGTTAGGTCAGCTCAGCCTTGGGCGGGGATTCCTGTCTGGTGGCTGGTTCTCGGCTTGTTTGCTGTTTTGGGAAGGGGCAGGGCTTCCGGTCCTTGCTGCTCAAGTTGTGAGAGACCCCAATGTAGGTGCTTCTCTGGGGTGTGGTTTCTCTGGGTGGTCCTGGGAGTTTTGTCACCGCCTTTGGCCCATCAGCTGGGAACTGGTGGCTGGACCACAGCTCAGTCGGTTGACAACAACCCAGTGATGGACTTCCAGGGCCGTCTGACCCAGTGGCCGTGACCCTTGTGAGGTTGGCGTCTAGGGGCAGGCCAGGGCAGCCCTGCCAGCTGGCCCACCTGTCTGGGCTCTGTGTTTGTTGACACTGCTCCAGCCCAGGCATTGGCCAGCCTCTCCTGCGTCAGCCGGGGAGGGGGAGGGGCCTCCGGAGGTTCCTGGCTGGCAGCTGGGGCCCAGGCCGCTGGGACTGGGCAGCGGACACTGGCCAGGCCCCCTAAGGCCGGAGTGGCCCCTGGGGGTGGGCGGCTGGCCTCCAGCACTGGCAGCTGGGCTCAGCCACGGCCCCAGCCGGGGACCCTGGGTGGCGAGCTCAGGACCTGGAACCTGAGGTGGCAGATCTGCTGGGCAAAGTGCTGACTAATGGTTTTGAAACCTGTTTACTGAACACGGGACCAGCCCTGGCCTGGGGGAAGTTCTCAGCAAGTGTATATGTTTTGGTGGCCGCCGCCTCTCCTCCTCCTCTGTCCCCTCCCTCTTTCTTGGTCTGCCCCTTTTGAGATATTTGTTGTGACCTCAGAGGCTGTTCCACCAGGAGATGGGGGTGGGGTGGGCAAGACCCATGTTGACAGCAGGTACCAGGAAATGCAGGCACATCCAGGACATGGTGTTCTGTGGGCCCAGGGGGTGTCACTCTCCACTGTCCCCTGCTCTCCCCTCCCCCTTGTTTTCTCTCTGCTCCTTTCCTCCTTTCTCCTTTTCCTCCTCCCCTCTCCTCCTCCCCTTCCTCTGTTCTCGTAAGAGGCTCTGGTGGCACAGTGGCTTCCTTTGGGCTCTAACTGAAAGGTTAGCTGCTTGTGTGGAGAGGGACGTGATGGCCTACTTCTGTGAGGAGAGCCCCCCTCTGGAAAGCTGTGGGGTTATTGCAGTACTGTGTCTTCCCCTCTTGTGGGGTCCACACTGGCCGGCCCATCCGCCGTTGTATCCCAGGGAGCACAGAGCAGAGCCTGTGCTGGCACTCACCTAGCAGATCACAGCAGTGACCTCTCTCCCCAAGGCTCAAGCAGACTGGTGACACCTGCAGCTCTTCTCAGGTGACAGTCCCTGCACCCTCACAAGACAGGCTTGTTGAAGTACACCTCTGCCTGCGCCCGGGGAGGGATGGCCTAGCCTTTCCTCCAGTGCTTGCTCCATCCCAGCTAGGGCATCCACACCTGGTTATGGTCACTGCCCACTTCCTCTTTTGAGAGGAAGTGCTTAGCAATGCCAACCACAGCTTGGCCACCAGCTTAGCCACTAGCGGGCAGGATGCTGGCACCCCTGCACGCCTGAGCCCCATCCACCCATGTCCCTAAGACTTGTCACACAAGGGACCAAAAAGAGAAAGGCAGATAATCTATATCTATAATTTGACTAAAAAGTCCAGAAGACCATGTTGTGAGAACCTGGACCTGTTCTGCTCCTTCTAGGTGTACAGAGCTGTGTATGCACCCCTGCCCCACCCTGGGTCTTTTCAGTTAAAAGCGTGTTGTGAAGAATTTCCATTCCATGAAGAAAAAAAAGACAAAAACAGAATATACATTCCTCACGCAATCCTCTGCCCTCTTGAGTTCTCCTCCCTTGGTGTGTTAGATTTTCACGGGAAATCAACTCAGTAGTGGTGGCTTTGCTACCACCGTACTCCCAGCCCTGGATGTGTGTCCTGGGCCACGGACAGGTCTCAGTGAAGCAGTGTGGTGGAGGGAGGGATTGAACTGGTGGGCAGTGCCCTTTAAGGCTTAGCCTCCTGGTGATCCCTGTCCTCATGGTTCTCATCTGTGGGGTGTTGTCCCAGAATCTGGCCGGGCTGTTAAAGACCTGACCACTCCCACTGCTGATGGACAGGAGGTTGATGCTCCCTGCCAACCAGTGTGGTCATGGTGGACCTTGACCCACTGTGGGTGTCCTTACGTGGTGCCCAGAGGTGGGACCATGGGGAGAAGGGAAAGGGTATGTTTATTTTGCTATTTGCTGCTGTTGCGAAACATCCTCAGCTAAACATAGACCCACCCACCCCACAATTCTTGCATGCAGTTAGCAATGTCAGGTGCATCCTGTGCGCCCCTTCTCACTGTCCTTTCCCAGTTGTTTCACACCCTCGTCTGCTCACCTGCGTGCTGGAGGAGATGGTAGCACACTTGCGTGGTAGGTTGTAACAGCCGGAGAGGACAGGTGTGAAGTGTATATGGCAGTGCGTGCTTTGTAAGAAGCACTGATCATTTTTTAGTGTTGTTACTGATTCGTACTCTATTAAAGGGGCCTTGGTAGCACAGGGGGTTAAGTATTGGGCTAAGTTTTGTTAAGTATTGGTCAGTGGTTCAAGCCCACGAGCTGCTCTGTGGGAAGATGTGACAATCTGCTTCTGTGAAGCTCCCAGCCTCAGAAACCCTATGGGGCAGCTCTGCTCTGTCCAGCACGAGGTTGTGGGGCAGAGCTGAGTCCATGGCGGTGGGTTTTTTTTTTTTCTCAGATAGTAAAGAAGACTTTGTTGATAATGTGTCCCAAATACTTCTCCTTGAGTTATGGTTGTGTTTGTTTGCCCGGAAAGTGGGTGAATTTGGGTGGGAGAGGGTCCCTAGCATTCATCACGCCTGCCCTTCTAGGGGTGCAGAGGGCAGGCTCTAGGCCTTGTCCCGTAGGAGGTCTGGAGCAGCTGGACCTGTCCTCATCCTAGGCGAGTGGCCCTCTCTCTGATCGGGTCTGGGCTGCAGTCCCCACTTAGATGTCCAGGGAGGAGTGTGTGATGTACCTCAGCCCAGCTGACGCTGACCCCTCCTGAGGCCAGCACGCTGTCTGGCCGGTTCTTGGGCTGGGCTGCCTGCATGTGACTCACCGTGGGCCCTGATGACAGACCCAGCAACTGGGAGCTGTGGGCGGAGAGCCCAGACTGGGGGAACCTGGACTGAGGGAGGTGTTCTCGAGGAGACCTACTCAAGCTGGCTCCTGATGCGACCCAGGCTTTGGTGTTAGCTGTTCCCCCAGGCTAGGGGTGGCCATGCTGGACCTAGGTGGTTTTTCCTGACTCCAGACGGTAATCTGCCAGGTCGTGGTCTGGGGTCCTAGAAGACTTCTGTGCGCTCAGCTCTCATAGATAGTAACCTGCAAAGGCTTCCAGGTACTGTCGACTCTTCTAGATCTGGATCCCACACAGGCCTCGGTTCAGGCAGCTCTGTGTTTCTGTCTGTATGGACTTTAGTATGTGAAATGTGAAAAGGACAGCCATGGGGGGCACCGCACACAGTGCTTCTGGCTTTCTCCCTTCGCTGCATGCAAGGCAGATCTCAGCAGTTTCCTAGCAGCACGTGCTGGCTGCGTCCCTGGGCCATGCTGTGGTCACTCATGCTTTCTGATGTTTCCGTCTTATTCTTGCTTGCTCATAGATTATGGCCGAGAATGAAGATTAACTTTTCTGTAGCTGGGAAACCTAAGGTGTGTGTGTGGGGGTGTTAAGGCAGTGATTGCTGACTTCCCTGTCTGGGTATCCTCCTCACCTCTGGTTTTAGATCTCGGAACCATACCATCCCTGCGAGTATTTGAGGGGGCTGCCCCATGGCGAGCAGGAACAGTCTGGACAGTGGACGGCTGAGCAGTGGATAGAGCTGGTGCACACATGTCAGGGCATGTTAGGAGGCATGTGAGGGGCAGGCTGTGTGAGGTCACTGGTGCATATGTATGTGCATAACCTTTCCTTCCATGTTAGAACAGTGGGTGCAGCTGTGCCCATTGGGTGTGTGGGCATGTCTACTACTGCAGGAGGAATCCAGAGACCCGAGGGTTTCCAGGGGTGCCAGACCTCCCTGCTCCCGTCTGCTGATCTCCTGGGCAGGCTGATGCTTGGGACTCTCTGAGGGCGTCACACTTCCACCTCATCGCCTAGTGGCACAGGACCTTCCTGGGGTGGGCTGCCCAGTGTCAGGGTCACCCTTTCCGGTTGGGATGAGGGACTGGAGAGGCAGCAGGACTGGAGCTCCTCAGAGAGCGGGTGGAGTCTTCCTGTTCAGGGTGGGCATATAGTGTCCCTCCTCTCCAGCTGTGACTCCCAGCAAGCCCAGGGGGAAATAACCCTGTGATGGCCCGCCCTTCCTGCTGGCCACAGCCCTCCAGGTTCACCTTGTCCTCCCAGCACCTGCCTGCTTTTGTCTGGAGAGTGGCACCAAAAACTGTTCTCACAAAGGAGCTATCAAAGATCAGGACAAGTGCGGGTGCGTGTGTGCCTGAGTGTGCACTGTCCCAGCAGAGCCCTGCCGTCTCCTGGGGCACGGGAAGGCGTTAATTAGGTCAGGCCACCCCCGCGCACCCGCCCACCTGGCCCTGGCTGGGTTTACCAGCCAGAGCTGATTAGGGTGGGGGAACTAGGCTTGCAGGGTGGGTGTCAGCCTCCCACATGACAGCACCTCCACTGTCTGCCCAGTGAGTTGGAGCTCCCCCTTCCCTGCCTGGCAGGTGCATGTGGAACAGTCTCCTGGGACAGTCCATTCGTGTGACCAGCCTGGTCCATGTAGCCAAGAAACCAAACTTAGCTGCACAGCAGTGAAGAACTGGGACTCAGTGGCCATGGGGTTCAGGGTGGGTGTGGGGTGGGACGCAGAGGAGATGGGCTGGAGGGCCTCTGGATGTGGAGTGGGCGAAGGGTCAGGAGGCAGGGTCTGAGGACTCAGAGGGCCGGGCCTGCCCAAGTTGGGAGATGGCGGTGCACGCAGCCTGACGTCATCATCTGACTCTGGATGGTGGAGTAGGGGCCAGCCCCAGTCGTGGGCTTCTTGTGGAAGCTAGTGGCCTAGTCCCTTAGATCTCACTCACCAGGGGATCCTGACCCCCCCCTCACCACATTACTGAGGAGCCTGTCCACCCCCATAGATCAGTGAGGCCACCTTGAGACAAGAACCCCTGAGGAGTTGGGGAGCTGCTAGGGTACAGCAGAGAGCTGTTGACTCTACCGGCTGCTCTAGCAGTTGGAGGGACAAGGAGCACTTGGCGGTGTTCTGGCCTGAGGGGCTTGGTGTGGCGGGTGGTTCTCCAGAGTAAAGGTGGTGGGGGGACTCTAGCTGGGTGTTCTGACCTGAGGGTCTGGGTGCCGCGGGTAACCCTCCAGGGTAAAGGAAGAGGAAGGCACTTGGGGTGTTCTGGCCTGAGGGACTGGGTGCAACAGGTGGCTCTCCAGGGTAGAGGAGGTGGGGGCACTCGGGTGTCATGGCTTGAGGGGCTTTTGGTATCAGGTGGCTTTCAAGGTAGAGGACAGAGGAGATGGGGTCCAGGCCTAGGGCTGCTCAGGCACACTTGTGATATGGGCAAGGCTCTGCTCTGCGCTTTGACTCTGAGGACCCTCAACCCGTGGTGGCTGCTGCCCCTTGTTGGTGGAAATGGGTGCTAGATGTCTTCCTGTATCTGTCTCAGTCCCCCATTTGTCCAGGTGCTGCCCTTCCCTGGCCCCAGTGATTGAGGCTGAGGCTGGAGGCTGAGGCTGGATCAGGGCTGACTCCTACGTACAGTCAGCTGGCTGTGACTGGGGGTGGGGGATGCTGTGCCCTGTCCCTCCATCACCTGGGTCTCCAGGGTCACCTGTGTCTCCTCCGCCTTCTGGATCTCACTCCTGTTGGGATCTCCCCTTGTGTGGCTCTCCCCCATTCTGTGTGTCCTTACAGGCACTATCTTTGTATCTGCCCTGTGACTTGGGCTCTGCCTGTGTCCACTGTGCCTGGGCCTCTGGAGGGCAGCCTCCCACTCCTTATCTCTACTTGAAGCCAGCCTGCTTGTCCTTGCTGCTTGGGGCCGAGAGGCTGGGGCAGAGCAGAGAGGGCTCCCAGGTGTCTCACCTGGGCCAGGACCAGTAAGGCCCTGCAGGCGATGGCTCACATTCTCTCTTCCTGGCACCAGCTCCTAGGGCTCCGCCGAGGGGTGTTCAGACACATGCTCTGCTAGACCATGGAGCGGGGGGTGTCGGCTCCTGGCCCATGAGAGGCCTTGCACACAGCCCACACTTTGAGGTTCCAGGGTACTCACCTCACAATCTGTTCTGTCCTCCTGGCACACATGTGAGGATCTGACAGATGACATCCTTGAGACCTGGGAGCCCCGTGGCCCAAGCAACGCTGCCTGGAACTTTGGGGATGGGCACTAAATGACCTGTGGGGTGGCCTGTGGTAATCTTGTCCTGCCTGACTGGAGGCTGACACAAGAAGCTATGGGGGACCATGTCCAGGGGAGAACTGCCCTTGGGGACCCTGTGGCCATGTCCCCATGACTGTGCCCCTCACCATCTCCTCTGTCTTCCAGGAAATGGCCAATTCTGTCTACCTGGTCATGGAGGTGAGTCATCTCTGTAAGGCCTAGAGGCTGGTCTTTTCAGGGCCAGAACATGCGAAGGTGGGGTGAGGGTGGGAGAGGAGGCTTCCTGGTCCAGGGCTGGGCTCCAGGCAGTGTGCTTGCCCTCTGCTGGGTCACTGTTGAGGGGCCAGCCCTGGAGGAGGGGCCAGGACTGCAGGTGTGGACGGGGACCGAGTGGTGGATGAGGACTGGAACGGGTGGGGGTCAGATAATAGATGCGGGCCTGGGACTCCAGGTGTGGACGGGGGTGGGGGGAGGCTGGATGGTGTGGGGACACTGCTCATGTATCTGTTCTCTTGCAGTACTGCAATGGTGGGGACCTGGCTGACTACCTACAGAGTGAGTGGATGTAACTGGAGTGGAGCACCTGCTAGGGCTAAGGGACAAGTCCATCACTAGCTGTCCACCCCATCTACCACCCCCAGCCCATCATTGCTAGAGACACAGCTGGGGTATAGATAGGCTTCATGTTGGGACCTGCAACCCAGGGATCGACAGTAAGCGGGACCTGGTGCTTGCAGAGTGTTGATAGGAGATAGTGTTGGTGTGGAATACGGGCTCAGCACAAGGGACCTGCCAAGAGCCCAGGCTGGACCACAGAATTGAGTAGGTGGAGGAGGAGGGCCTGCTGTGGCTGGAGACCGAGGAGCAGGACCTGGAGAGGGCTGAGCAGAGCCAGTGACCAGGCTCAGAGCCTCAGTAGGTGACCTAACACAGACTCTGGGTCCAGGTTTGGGGTCAGCCATGGGGGTCGGGACACAGACACACAAATGCACACTCCCTGCATGTATATGCACTTATACATGTGACGGTTTGAGTGCGTGCACACCCAGGTGAGGCCAGGATGTGTCTGGGGTTAGGGCCTGAACTGCTTGGTCAGAGAAGTTGGTGGGGCTGGTTAGGAGGTGGGGTGTCCAGAGCTCCAGCTCGGACATGTGCTGTGCCCTGGCCGGGGTGGGTGGGACGCTGTGTGTGTTCCCCAAAGGCTTTGGAACTGAGTAGGAAGGCCTGGGTTGAGCAGGAACTGTGGATGCCTGTGCAGCTGGGTGTGGCAGGGACAGCAGGAGGGACACGGTGATGTGAGGTCGAACCAGGAGGCCCGTGCGGGGGTCATGGTGATGCAGGGTGGAATGGGGAGGACTGGGCAGGGGGTTACGGCAATGCAGTGAGGGACCAGATGACCATCAGGGTCACGGACTGCTGAGGGTCTGCACTCAAGGCCCGCCCTGCTCCCTGCTGAGCCAAGTCTCCCCACAGCCATGCGCACGCTCAGCGAGGACACCATCCGGCTCTTCCTGCAGCAGATTGCGGGCGCCATGCAGCTCCTACACAGCAAGGGCATCATCCACCGGGACCTGAAGCCCCAGAACATCCTGCTGTCCAACCCTGGTGGGCGCCGCGCGAACCCCAACAACATCCGCGTCAAGATCGGTGAGCGCCCCTCCTCTGGGAGTGTAGGGGACCCACCCACTCCACAGGCCCTGAGCATGTCTCCCTCCACACAGCTGACTTCGGCTTTGCGAGGTATCTGCAGAGTAACATGATGGCAGCCACGCTCTGCGGCTCCCCGATGTACATGGTGCGTCTGGGCCTGGGGAGGGGCCTGTAATACTCTGTTTGCCGGTCAGGCCACCTCTGAGCCCCTGCCTCCACTCTGCAGGCGCCGGAAGTCATTATGTCCCAGCACTATGACGGGAAGGCCGACCTGTGGAGCATTGGCACCATTGTCTACCAGTGTCTGACGGGGAAGGCGCCTTTCCAGGTATGTGGGCAGCCAGGGCATCTGGTCCCTGCGTAGCATTGTCTGGCAGGTGGCACAGGAGCCCTGGTGTGGGGTTCTAGGCAGTGTAAGGGGTGATGTGTGGGCACAGGTGCTGGGTTCTGGGCAGTTCCTGGGGGCGGGTGGCTTCAAAAGCTGTGAGGCATGCCCAGGTGTGATGCACATGATGGTGACCTTCCTGGAGCCCTTTCTATGGTGTCAAGAAGGAAATTGCCACACAAGGGGCTAGGCTGTGCTGCTGCTTCGGCCTTGGGGCCTGGGTCTTCACAGTGTTCGGAGTCTGCCCTGCTCCCTCACCCCTATTTTGGGCCTTCCTGGGAGAGGCTGAAAACTGGTCTGAGCCCAGTGTAGAGAGAGGGGTGTGTTGTGGAGGGGTGCTGATGGCCATGGAGAGGTGAGGCAGGGCATGGGGAGTCAAGGCAGGACGGGGCTAGGCATGGAGTGGATGCCTCAGCACCCCTACCTGAAAGAGTACTCTCTGCCTCACAGGCCAGCAGCCCCCAGGACCTGCGGCTCTTCTACGAGAAGAACAAGATGTTGATCCCCACGTAAGTGCTCCTGTTTGGGCAGCTCCCTAGAGCTCAACGTCTGGGCCTGCTGCATGCCCATTCACCTCACCTTATTCCCCCAGCATCCCTCGGGAGACCTCAGCTCCCCTGAGGCACCTGCTCCTGGGACTGCTGCAGCGGAACCACAAGGACCGCATGGACTTCGGTGGGTCCCTGCTCCACTGCCCACCTCCTTACCTGGACTCTGCACTCCAGCTGGGGCCATGGGGATGGGGACATAAGACTCCGATCTCAGCCCCCTGGCTCTTGTCCCTGGGGAGATTAGAGTGGGGAGGGAGGCACGCCCCTGGGGAGATTAGGGTGAGAGGCTGGGCCCAGATAACACACCTAACACCCTTCCTCCTGCAGATGAGTTCTTCCATCACCCGTTCCTTGACGCCAGCTCTTCTGTCAAAAAGTGTGAGTCTTGGGGTGCTGGGGCTTCTTTATATTCTCTCTTCAGGCCAGAGAATTTACCTCCCATCCTCACTCCACTGACCCCGGGAAGAGGGCTATACCTCTGCTCAGAGTTTAGTGAACTTCGCTCCTGAGGGCCCTTAAAAGCTCAGTGACTAGGGTAGAAAGGGTAGTGTCTTGGGTAGCTGATGGCTGGCATGATGATGCAGTCCCCAAAAATGCCATCTCAGGGCACAGGGCAAGGCCATGTAGGGGGTAGCTGAGCCTTCTTATTTTCAGGCCCTGGGAGATTCTGTCCCGGCTGGCGCCCCAGCAGAGTGGGGTGGCTGAGCCGCCTTGCTTCTGGGCCCTGGGAGGTTTTGTGTTGGGTGAGGGCCCCGTGCCGCCTTGTCTCCAGGCTCTGGGAAATTCTGTCCCAGATGGGGCCCCAGGGTAGTGGGGTGGCTGAGCCGCCTTGCTTCTGGGCCCTGGGAGGTTCTGTGTCGGGTAGGGGCCCAGCGCGGTGGAGGAAGGTATTGCTGCCGCCCCCACAGCTCCCCCGGTGCCCGTGCCCTCGTACCCCAGCTCCGGTTCCGGCAGCAGCTCTAGCAGCAGCTCCACCTCACACCTGGCCTCCCCGCCGGTGAGTAGCCCAGCCGCTGATGCAGGGGTTGAGGCGGGGGGACATGCAGTGAGCCCTGTGGCAGGGCCTGGTCTTGGGGCGAGGAACCCACAGGGTCTTAGGGCAGGTGGGCCTGTGTGCTCTCACTGCCCTTCCTCATTCAGTCCCTTGGGGAGATTCAGCAGCTGCAGAAGACCCTGACATCCCCGGCCGCTGCCTTCCTGCAAGGCTCCCGAGACTCAGGTGGTAGCAGCAAGGATTCATCTTGTGACACCGATGACTTTGTCATGGTCCCGGCCCAGTTTCCAGGTGTGGGCATGAGCGGGTGGGTGTGGGGACACCGATGGGGTGATGGGAGGGCAGGAAGCATGGGGCCTGGATTGGGCAGTGCAGTCCGTCCTGGTTGGGCCTCCGGAGGTCCTGCTTCTGCCTCACTGTGTCCCCATCATCAGGTGAACTGGGAGCTGAAGTGGCTGGTGCCAAGCCCCCTCTAGACAGCCTGCTGTGCAGCGGGTAAGCCTGTCTCCCACCCAACACGCCCTCACTTTCTGGGAGGTGGGGGCTGCCTCTGACCGTTCTGGATGTCAATCTGGGAAGGACCCCACCTGCCCTACTCGTAGCCCTTGTGTTCCCCACCTCCCAGCCTGGGCTTAGGCCTAGCTCTGCTCTGGAGCGTGGCGAGGGCCTGGGTCCCTGACATGTTGGGGCTGAGCCTTCACCAGTTGTCCCCTCTCCCCCCCCCTCCTCTCCTTGATGCTCCTCTCTTTCAAAAGTAAAAGAAACCCCCCCCCCCCCCCCAGGAGCTCATTGGTGGCCTCCGCTGGCCTGGAGAGTCATGGCCGGACCCCATCACCTTCCCCACCTTACAGTGGCTCCCCTAGCCCCTCAGGGTGAGCAGCCCCTCACCACAAGCAGCATCTGGGAGGGACTGGGGGACAGTGGTGGCAACTGTTCCGGGAGCTGGATTCCCTCAGTGTCACATCTGTGTCAGGGTGGGACAGCACCTCAGGGCCAGTTTGAGCCACCAGCTGGGGTGTCACGGGGGATGTGGCTGCCCAGCACTAGCCCGCATGACCGTTCCTTTCTCACAGGCGGGCCGGCCCCTCTAGCAGCAGGTATGGCGTGTCCGTCCCCATCCCGGTCCCCACACAGGTCCACAACTACCAGCGCATTGAGCAGAATCTGCAGTCTCCTGGCCAGTACACCATGGCACCCCGGTGAGTGTGGCCAAGCCTTGCTTCCCTCCCACCCCAGCCTAGGAAGCAGGATGTGGAGAGGAAGTGAGGGGTGAGGAGGGCAGCCCTATGTCCTGATGGCCAGGCTAAGGTGGCAGGACTGAAGGTTTGTCACATGGCCATTGACTCTGTCCGTCTACCCACAGGTCCACTACCGTCCGCAGGTCGGGCAGCACTAGCCCACTGGGCTTTGCCCGTGCCAGCCCCTCACCCCCATCCCACACTGAGCATGGAGCCGCCCTGGCCAGGAAGTTCTCACTGGGCGGTGCCCGGCCCTACACACCCTCTCCCCAAGGTGAGACAAGGCCCTGAGCACTATGACTGGGAGCTTCCCTCTCCAGCCTGGGGCCAGGGGCTGCGACCAGGCAGAGAAGTGCAGTGCCTTGGCTCTGACCCGCTGACTTTATACTCTTTCATTTGAAGTTGGAACCATCCCTGAGAGGCCTGCCTCCGGTGGGACACCCTCCCCACAAGGAGCTGAGTTGAGGGGCAGCAAGTTCCCGAGGCCAGGTGGGGGTCTGGCTGGGAGTGGAGGGCGGGGCCTGGCCTTACTGTGGCCATCTTGAAGCAGGGAGGGTGAGCTGTGAGGTCCAGGTGACCGAGCCCCTGGTGCTGTGGGGCTTTGTGGAATGGAAGGCAATGCAAACTTTTCCCTCCAGGCTCCTCTGCACCTGAACACTCACCCCGGGTCACTGGGATGGGCTGCCGACTATGCAGCGCCCCCAACCTCTTGGACTTGCATGTTGTGCGCCCGAAGCTGCCCAAGTCCCCCACAGACCTACTGGGGACTGCGTTTGGCACTCGACAGGCCAGCCCCCCGCTGTCAGCCTGCCGGCCTTTGCGTGGCTCACCCAAGTTCTCCGAGTTCCTGCAGCGGAGCCCCTTGCCCCCCATCATGGGGTCCCCAACGAAGGTAAGAGCCAAGTGCCCCAGGACCCCTCCATTCTTGGCCAGGGGAACTTGAGGGGTTGGCAGAGGCTTTCAGGAAGACTTCAGGGCAACCCTGCTCCCAGCTGTCCCTCTTGTTGTCCTGCCCAACCGGGCCTGCTGTGGCTGTCTGCATAGACCACGGGGAGCCTGCTGCAGGCATAACTTCTGGTGGCCCAGAGGCGGCTGACTCCCCAGGACCCACTCTTGCACCCCTTGCTTAAGAGCCTCCCAGCTCTTTGGTTTCTCTGCAGGGATCCCAGAATAGGCCAAGGGTCACTGGACCCCATGACTCGTGGCCCACTGACTGTGCTCCCACCCCTTGTACCTCCTTGGCCTGGGGTGCTTACTCCCCAGCCCCCTCTTAAAGTCTTGTTTTCCAGGAGCCAGTGATGGATGTGAAGACCTATAGATTGATCAGATTACCCACCTCCCCTGCTCTGGATGGGTCTGTAGTCTTGTCCCCAAGAACTTACCAAGATTCTGTCCTGGGGGTCCCCCTAGGATGTGGACTCTAGGGAGCAGGGGTGTGCTAACCTGTCTCATGAAGGACCCCATCTGTTCTTGAAGCAGGCCCTCTTGGTCTTTGACCCCCCTTTTTTTATTTTATTAAACCAAATTATTGGAAAGATCTATTTATTGAGTAGCCCCAGGATCC